AATGAAAACTGACAATCTGTTTAGGACAATTACAAAGTGTTCAGATCACTGTGTTAACTGTTTTGAGAGCAGTGACCTAAGTTTGGAGAAATGAGTCAAATCAATCGAGAAAAACTGTAAATGCAGAAATGGCAAACTTACTATTATTGAGAAACATTTGCAGATTTATCCCAGATGACTGTTCTGTTTGCTCTTTTGAGGTGATGATCCTCCATCCTGCATTTATGAAATATATCTATGAGAGCTGGCTGCAGAGTAATGGAGGATATCCTTCCACTGGCTTCATATCTCTTATATTCGCCCTTCACATCTGTGACGAGGTGAGAAGCACTGAGTGAATCTTTCCTCCTATCTTTTGGAATAGGAGAAAGTCATTTAATTTCCAAAATGTAAACGCATCAGTCCCTAGCATGGTTAGAGATTTAGAAACATCAAGGGCCATGCTTGTATTTTATTCTGCCTCTGATTAAACATAGCTGAGGTTTGGTTTAAATACAAAGGCAAATTATACCATAGTAAAATACTTTGGCAGTGGTGCCTTAACAAAACAGTAATGAATGTGTATTACATTTACATTTAGTCATTTAGCAGACGCTTTTACCCAAAGCGACTTACAAATGAGGACAATAGAAGCAATCAAAATCAACAAAAGAGCAATAATATGCAAGTGCTATAACAAGTCTCAGTTAGCTTAACGCAGTACACGTAGCAAGGTTGTTTCTTAATTATATAATAAATAAAAAGGAAACAGATAGAATAGAAAAGGAATAGAGCAAGCTAGTGTTAGAGACCTTTTTTGCTTTTGTTAACTGTAAAATAAATAAAAAGAAAACAAATAGATAGAATACAAAAAGATTAGACAAGCTAGTGTTAGTTTTTTTTAAAAAGAAAACAAGCAGTTAGTAAATGAATAGAGTGCAAGTCTAAAAGGCGCTAGAGTTAGAGGGTCAAATAAAGATTAATTAATGACAATTAATAGACTGTATTAATGTAAGGCTTTGTTTAATGTAATGATTCCTCTCTCTTAGGTCAGCGTGTTTGGGTTTGGACCTACAAAAGATGGAGTTTGGCATCATTACTTTGACGATTTTAGCAGTGACTCTAATGGAGGCCCTCATGATGGAGGCTCTGAGGGCGAAGTGATCTCTCAACTCCATCAGAAACACAGAATTACGACGTATAAAGGGTGGGAATAAAGCATAAAGCTTGAAATAGGAGTGTGTCATTATAATCCGTAATTATGTCCCCACTGGATGCAACAAATGCCTCGTTTGTAATGGGTTTTAATGTTTTTGTCTCGTCGCTCCGGCCAGACAGGGCATCATAGTATGGTGAGGGGCGTAACATTTCCGTCACACGCTTGAGGTGTTCGGCCAATCACAACGCATTGGATAGCTGGCCAATCAGAGCACACCTCGCTTTTCAGAACGATGAGCTTTGTAAAAATCGACGCGTTTCAGAAAAGCGGGGCATAGAAGAGAAACAATAATGTACAGTATGTGGAAAATAATGTGTTTTTTGAACCTTAAACCGCATAAACACATTTCATTACACCAAATACACAACATAATGTTCTTTTTAGCAACATCATATGACCCCTTTAATACTAATATTGTATTTAGTGGTTAAGAAAGTACAACTAAGTTCTGTAAAGTAATTTGTAAACAATTTCTCCATGTGTGAATTTTACAACGTTAAACTGTAATTTTAGATTGGAAATGTTATTGAAATTAATGTTGCATGCACCACTGTACAACAGTTAGTTTTGATCTATTAAGTAGATTGGTCAAGCAGTGTTGCAAGCTTGTGTGTGTGAGTTTACTTAATAAAACCAAAGTATGTAAACTGTCAGAGTTGATGGTATATTGTTATCAGACATTTAAAGGTGCAGTGTGTAAATTTTAGCATCTAGTTTTCTGTCAATAGATCGTTGTAAATATTACACATTGCACCTTTAAGATTATGTTTGCAGAAAAGACTGAATGAAGATATGATTTTAGGCCTCTGTGACTGAACACTGTATTTCTGCTGAGCTCGCGTCCACACTGATACCAAGGGCTCTTTTAGGCCGCATGGCCTTCAGATAAAATAATAGGCAAACACACTCTATAATCACTTTTGTAAAACTGGTCAACATCAAGAATCCTGAATGAAGACTCCATAAATGAGCAATAAATGGTTAGGTTCCACAGCTAAATACAAGTTTGTACAAGCCTGTTTGAATGTATTCTTAAAATTTGAATGAAAAAAGTAAAATTACTTCTAGTTCATTGTCTTACTGCCTTGCAAAAAGTAATGACGCAAATTCAGTCATATCAATCATTGTAAATAAATGATCTTAGCAAAAGTTCCTCTTTAGTAAAACTTTTTTTTTTTTTTTTTGCTTTAACGGACTGACAACATGATGGGAACATTTCAGAGACTTTCAATCTGATAAATTTTATTTTGAGACATGGAATGCTTCTTTGTTATAACTTTAATATGACATCAGTGCCCACATACTTTCAGAGACAAGAGAAAAACAAAAAAACACCAGTTCATACGCAAAAACATGTAGAGAAGCTGCCACTGAATATACAGATTAAACATGGGAAGAAATCAAATCATATTAAAGAAGAAATTACAAATGCAGCTAATGAAAAAACAACCCATAATCAGCCAATTTAGAAACAAAAGACTGACCAAACAATAAGATTAATGCTCAAAATACTGAACAAAAAAAAACCCTTTAAGATAAGTTACTTTCACCTGATAAGGAAACTGTAAGAGGACTGTAAGATCGTTTACACTGTTATTCCTGAGTAAAAAATACAAAAATCTGCCAGTGACACCAGACAAATGATACTCACAGCCGAGCACAGACTTCATGACTTTTTTACCTAGTTTTGCTCATCAGGGAAATGTATCATGTTTTATGAATGTGTACATCGATTCTCAGGTCCTCCCAAAGAATGATTTCTGCAGTGTAGCTACCGCAAATGCTGAGGATTCATGTGCGAGATCAGAAGTTTGGTTTGTGCTTCTTGACTTCCACCATCAGATGATGGAGGTTTATGAGCTCGGAGCGCACTGCCAGACTGCGAAACGCTGGCTGGGAGAGGACCTTATGGAAACCATGATAGTACTGGATGAGCTGGGTCAACGCTCCCTAGAGAACACAACCAGACAGCAACTCGTCAGTCTGACAGCACATTTATGAGCTATGAAAGAAAGAACGTCATTATTTCACCAGGTTGCACCTGAATGATGCTGGTTCCATTCTTGAAGTTGGTGAAGGAGCGCATGACATCTTGACTCAAGGCCTCCACAGACTGCTTCCACGTGCTGGAGAAACCCCGCACCAGCTGCGTGATACGAGCTACACACACACACACACACGCAGACAAGTGTTAAATCACCAGACCTCTGTCTGCGCTGCTGGGAAACACTGTGACAGGACTCACTATAAGGCTTTTTCAGTTTTCTGCTCACCAGGGCTGCATTGATTTGATCAAAAATACAGCAAAAGCTCTAATATTGTGAAATATCGTTACGATGAAAAAGAATGGCTTTTTTTGTGATCAAAGCGGAATTTTTAGAGGCCATTCATCCAATATTGATGTACAAATCATTCTAAAATGTTGGTTGGCTGCTCAAGAAAGAGTTGATAATAGCTGTGCTGCTTAATGAAGTGTGGGGATTTTTTCATGATGAACAGAAAGAACAGCATTTATTTGAAACAAATCTTTGGTGAATTTATAAGTGTGTTTACTGTCATTTTTAACATTTTAATTCATCCCAGCTAAAGACAAGTTTTTTTTTAAATTTCTTTCAAAACAACAAGAACACAAATCTTACTGATCCCAAACTTTGGAATAGTAGCGTAAGTGTTGGACTGTGATGGTGAAGCTACTTTAATGTAACTGTAATAATGAGATGATTTCATCCATCTCCATTAGGATGACAACATTAAACAGCATTTGAACAGAAAAAATACAACCAGCTAAACTACAAAACACCACAACTCATACTAAAGAGTCAAAAAGATCTGGATTTGTCAAATACAATAATTGAAATATTTGTAATATAGTAAAAATAAAATATAATGTAAAATATAATATTTAGAATAGCTTTTGTTTTATACGAACATATTTATTTGCTCAGAAGTTAAAGCTGAAGGGTGTATTTTTATGTTAAAATGCTTGTGCTATCAGGTTTGGAACGACATGATGGTGAGTAAAAGACGACAGGGTTTTGGAAGGGACTAGTCCGTTAATTATCAAAAAATAAATAAATAAAAATTATATATATATATATATATATATATATATTCTTTTATTTGTATTTTTTTAATGCATCACTCAGTTAAAGACATAAGGATACAGCAGTATGACAAACCTCAACAGAGAAAACAGAGCAGCTCCAGCACTCACCTTCATCGTTTCTGAGTTTGTCAAGTTGCCCTTTCTCCATTAGTGCCTCGCTCTCCTTCACAAATGCAATCATCCCTCCGAACGCAGGTGAAAGAATCTCCTCTATAAACTCCTGTTCCACACACACACACACACACACGGTTACTCACATTACACGCGACGCCGCTGTGAGCTGGTGCTCAGGATCTCAGATCGTACCTGTGTTCTGGCGAGCAGGAGCTGCTGGAAGCCCTCCGCAGCTCCAGCACTCACCTTCATCGTTTCTGAGTTTGTCAAGTTGCCCTTTCTCCATTAGTGCCTCGCTCTCCTTCACAAATGCAATCATCCCTCCGAACGCAGGTGAAAGAATCTCCTCTATAAACTCCTGTTCCACACACACACACACACACGGTTACTCACATTACACGCGACGCCGCTGTGAGCTGGTGCTCAGGATCTCAGATCGTACCTGTGTTCTGGCGAGCAGGAGCTGCTGGACAGAGACACACATACACACACACAGAAACAGACACACACACACACACACACAGACACACACCATCATGATGCAGTCTGATACCCAACAGAGTCTTAGTGGTTAGCGGCATGTCTCGTGAGGAGCGTCACCATTAGCACGCCGAGCATCATGTCGTAGTTGTTGATGAGGAAGATGAGCTGGTCTCGTCTAGAGGGAAACTCAGCCGCCATCTTCAGCACGAAGTTCTCCACCTCCACCTGAAATCAGATCACGACAGCTTTCAGCGTGAGCCGCTCTACACCTGGAGGACACAGAGGTGTTTCCGTTCTCACCTGCAGCTGTCCCAGAAGAGTATGGGTCCTCTCGTTGGGAAAGGTTTGGTTTATGCTGACAATAGCAGAGGAGAATTCAGCATACCGGCGCGTGATCTACACAGACACGAAGAAAAACAGACGATATATATTCCACACACACACTATATATATATATATATATATGAACCAGAGAATGCACATCTGATCCGTGTGGATGTTGTGTTCAGAACTCTAGTGACATGAGGCTGCAGCAGTGTTTTCTCTCAAGACCATCGATGGATGGGAGAAAGAAACAGTCTAACTTTGTTACCATTTTTTTCATACCGAGATGCAGTTTCATATATCAGTACATCTAATATATATTTGATAAAAATACAAATAAAACTGGAACAATTGTTGTTTTGTTTTTAAATCTAAAGACAACATGAGCAAGACGTCATTTTATTCATTTAATAATAACTGACATGTAGTTGAGATGAACGTACATAATGCTTGCACTACCAGAAACTTTTGGAAACACATTTTGATTCTTTATGAGCGACCTGCAACACCTGCTTCGTTTTGAAATGACTGACATAAAAAGTGACGGTCATGCTTTAGTTTGGGGACCTTCTTCTTTTGCCTCAATAAACTCCTAATTTACTTGCCAGCAACTCACCAAAATATAAGCTTGCTGATTTTAGGTTTGAAAATGATATATTAGGTCCGTGTACTTTTGCTTCCATTCATTTTTCATTTTTTTAACCATGATGAAAAAAAATGAAAAAAAGAACGGTTGTTGTATTTTTAAATGCTGTTGAAAACCAAAATTGAAAGTAGAACCGTTCACACAAAATGCTGCATGAAAAAGTAAAATTTTTGTTTATGACTTTTTGCACGTTTAATAAACATTTTCAAAATGCACAAACTTATATGGAAATTTTTTTTCTGTTTGGCCAAATTAGAAGTATTGCATCTACTTAGCAGCATGATACTGTATGTCTGCGACTGGCTACATTGATCAACACTGCAAAAACACGTAAAGAGAAATATTTGAAGCTCTCCAGAGAGCACTGGAGTGTTTGCCAAATATGTTTTGCCATATCCTATTTTTACAGCCTCAGGGTGCTCTTGCTTTCTTTTGAGGGTGCTTAGCACCCCTGTAGAACAGTGCCTTGATACACACATTAAATGCAAATCACACATATTTTAAGGCGTGAAAAATGATCAAAATATTTTGAGAAACTAGCTTTATGATCATGAAAATATCGATGCCTTCCAAATATTGACGCAAGAGGTTTTTTTATAAAGCAACCGGTTACCAGTAGCCCCGTCGGTTGTGCTAGAGGGCACTTTTAGCACTAAAAAGCTAAAAAATTTAATTTAGCATTTATGTAGGCTACAGTAAAAAAAACAAGCTGTATATCATTTTTACGATTTTTAATGAAATAAGAATTTTGAATAATGAAAATGAGTGTTTCTGCTTATTCTATTATTCAGTGTCAGAACCAAAAAAATGAAACCGCATTATCCGTATTTCTTTTCTAGGTTAAAAAACGAAAAATGAATGGACGCAAAAGTTAAACGCAAACACGGATGTCACGCTCCCTACTGTGAGGAGCGAGGAACGAGGAAACGGAGGGAAATTCACGAAGATACATACTTTATTCTTTCACACGGAACCAGGGACACACACGTAGGAAACAGGTAACGGCGTTCAGACTCGACAAAGAAACATCCGACAGACTACACTTTAAATACAAGACATAACGAGGGAGTAAATTAAACACAGCTGAATCAAATAAACAAACACAGGTGGAAACTAATGAACTCAATGAAATAATCAGGACAGGAACATAACCAAAAAAGGGCTAAACACTGGGACACAGGGAGCACATGGGGAACAAAACACAACACAAGCCTGACAACGGACCATATTAACAGTGTATTTTTAAGTGTACTATAAGATAATTGTATTTTTATTTAAAGGGATAGTTCAGCCAAAAATTAAAATCACCCCATGATTTACTCACCCTCAAGCCATCCTAGCTATATATGACTTTCTTCTTTCAGACAAATACAATCGGAGTTATAATAAAATTTATCCTGGCTCTTCCAAGCTTTGTAATGGCAATGAATAGTGAATAGTGGTCAAGATTTTGAAGCCCAAAAAAGTATTCGTCTGAAAGAAGAAAGTCATATACACCTAGGATGGCTTGAGGGTGAGCAAATCATGGGGTTATTTTCATTTTTGGATGAACTATTCCTTTACTAATTTTGTTCTTTTAAAATATAATAGAATTATCACACTTTATTTATTTTCTTATTTATTTTCTTTATTATTATATATTTTTTTTTAAATAATAAAGTGCAATAATACTGTTATTACTATTATTTATTAATCTTTTTTTTTTCCAGTTATGTTTAATGGGTCACACTATGTGCAATGTGAGGACCAAACCAAATCTCCAGGTGCTCTCATGAGAACCAGACCCAAAAACCCTAACCCTAATAGTGAGAACTGGTCCCTAAACTGAAGTGTTACCAAAGTGATGATCAGTGCTCGTGGGGTTGATTAAGAGTACTTTTTCCTCGGGCCATTTCTAAAATATTATTATTATACTGAAGGAGTGGATTTTGTGTAAATTGAGTGAGTGTGTGTGTGTGTGTGTGTGT